AAAATTGTCATCCATAATCTGCCATCTACAATGATGGACTTGATTCATCAGTATTATTGCATATTATGATCATTATTATATAATACATATGATTATTAATATACTTACTAACAGTTCCATAAGGAAAGAAGACAACTCAAAACATATAGAAATATCAATGGGTCAGAAATATTAAAATCTGAAGTGAAATCACTGGCCAAATTGAACAGAAACAAAGCAGCTGGGCCAGATAGAATTGTAATAGAAATGCTAGTCTTTTAGATAATTTTGACACTGACAAAATTATAGACATGAGACACCAGAAGACCTAAGTAGATCCATTTTCATAGCACTGCCTAAGAAGCCAGCTACAAACTCCATTGGACAAGAACAGTGAGATTGCATTAAAGACACTGGAACAAGGAATACAATATTTATGCTCAGATGGATATCAGAAAGAGCAATACGAATGCAGAAGGGTATATACCTATGTTTTATAGATTATGCAAAAGCATTTGATAAAGTATGTCACAGAGAACTGATGGAACTGCTAGGTAAGCATGATATATTTGGGAAGGATATCAGAATAATCCAGAACTTATACCAGGAGCAAACCACTTGCATAAAAATAGAAAATGAATTAAGCACACAGAAATAAAAAGGGACGTAAGACAGGGACGTGTCTTCTTAATCAAACTAATTTAATCGTTATGTTGAAGCAATCCTGAGAGAAATACCTGGATTCATTATTGGCAGCCAAAATCTTAACCAAAAAATTATAAAAATAATAATTTCTATTTGATTGCCTGATTAAATCAAGAAAATCAATTTGATCCACTAATTACTTTGGTCACAATTAATATATAATTCTTTTCTATATAATTTTCATGATTAGTAAATTCAATCACCTTTTTATTCTATTTTTTTTTTTTTTAAAACTAAAATATTTATTTGTTCACACACATCTGTTGCACTATTTCTGCCTGAAACAGATGATGACCTGTCTCTTTTTATTAAGAATTTAAGCCATTGTAAATTTTTAAGGTTGATACATCCCTATAAGTGGTCCAGATTGCTGGGGAATGGGTGTTTTTGTTTTATCAAGTTACCATCTCTAGATAGATGGTCAACCAAGACTGAAGACTTTTCAAAGTTTCTTCTACTCAATTACACAAAATTTAAGTCAATTCAGACCATTCCCAACAATGCCATATGCTAAAATTGTCTCTGCAGGCTGATACTATTGAGGTCATTATTTATTCACTACAACAATGTTTTTCAGAGTTAGTTCCATTTTCTGTCTTAAAATTCACAGAAAATTACTTGAGTGATATATATATATATATTTTAAATATTAAACTATTTTTATCTATGCAGACATTATTTTCCATAGTTTAAGTTCATAATGAACTGACGATCTTTATTAACCTAGCAAAATGAAAGAAGAAATTCTTGAATACAGACTTTGTAAAGTCAATTTGGCAAACAAGATACTAGCATTTAACAGGAAAAACATTGAAATAACTACAAAGGAATACTTTTAAGTTTAAGTTATATGACTGTAGTTCAGAAGGATTACAATGGGCAAGGACCAGAATGGATGAAATTTCTAGAAAGTCTTTTTACTTGCGTGTATTGTAGTGTTTGGGAAAAGACGACATCCAAGCCAAAATGAGAATCGGCTGAATCAATGCTGACTAATTGGAATGCAGCATGGTAAAATCCAAAATCTCGGCATGAAGATTTCTCACCTTCACTTTTATCAGATGACTCTTCTGGAAATAAAGGGGTTAAGATTATACCTTATTCATATATAAATCAATGCCTATCTATCATCATGTATGTATATATATATATATATATATATATATATATATATATATATATATATATATGTGTGTGTGTGTGTGTGTGTATGCAGATATGTAGAAAAATAGGAAAGAACACGTTAGGTAAATAATCCGGAGTTTTTTAGTATCTTTGTTTTTATTTTTAAAAAACTGTGCTCCATACAGAAGTACAGCTTAAATTATTTTTTTTTAAATAATTATTATATATATATATATATATGTGTGTGTGTGTATTTTGGCAGCAATCCCTCTTTTATGCAAATTTCATTAAAAACAACTGACAAGGTACTGTGGTTAAGTTTTTTTTATTTAATTTTTCATGCAATTATATAATTTTTTCTTTCTTGGGTGTAGATTATATAAAAATTGTCCCAATGTTTTATATATCTGAGCACTTTCAGCAACACATTTAGTCATTAGCAAGGCTGAATTTTATTTTTAACTGAATATGTGGATTGTTTTATCTCGAGTTATAGGAATATTTATTACCCAAACATGGTCAGTACATTATAGTTGATGTTATTGAGTGTTGGCATTTTCTTTTTTATTAATAATGCTTCCATCATATTTAGCCTTTTTTTTTTTTTAACATGTGGGTGAGGCTATTATTCTATCCGCAACATACTCATTGATAATACAAATAAGTTCTAATGAGAGAAAAGTGTGTATATTAAAAAGAAGTGAGAAACCACAAACGTTTTTGGTTGTAATGTTGATTTTTTAAAAAATATATTATGCTTTATTTTTCATAATTTTGCTACATGGGTTTTCAGTTTTGCATCCTTTCATCATAGAAATTAAATTCTTGGGTGAATTTGATTTTTGGGTGTAAGTTTGAAGTAGAGTGTGGAATTGGTTAATATCACCCCATGAGGATTTCTAGAAAATGAAGAAATCATCTAAGCAATTTTTTCAAGATTTAGTGAAGTGGGGTTTTATATTTTGCCCCATATATTTGTTCTATCTTTTCATAGAGGTTTTCCTCTAGGTAAGTTAATGTTAGGGTGGCATATGTTGGTGCCATTTTTGTTCCCATTGCAGTACCTAGGGTTTGGATGTAGTTTTTGTTGTCAAATTCAAAGGTGTTATTGCTTAGAATTAGGTCTATACTATCGATAATGAATTCCTTAGTGGATCTGAGATGTAGTGATTCTGGATGTTTTTCAATCCAGAATGAGATTGCCTTTTTACCTAATTCATGGGGTATGTTGCTATAGAGGCTATTAATGTCAGAAGTTGCCATAAGTGTTCCTAGAGCTACTTGTTGTGGTATGGAGGTAAGGAAGTGAATATCGTCACTGATGTAGCTTTTAATCTGCTTAGTAAATGGTTGTAATATTGTGTCTATTAGGTTACTGAGTTTGGTAGTTGGACAGGCTGATCTTGCTACCATGGGTCTGAATGTAAGGTCACTGGGGTTTGAGATGCTAATGTGTGTATATATATATATATATATATATATATATATATATATAAAATGCTAATATATTATACGTGTATGTATGTCTGCGTACATCAATGAGTGAATGTGCATGTATGTATGTTTGCATAAGTATGAGTGGTGTTCTGACAACAATTTTTCCTCCCGCTACCATAAAACACAGATATAAGCAACCATATATAAATCCAAAATTCAAAAATTAATCAGTTTGTCTGATGATCACAAATAGCATGAAACCCAGGGTCACTGACTAACATCAATCCAACTAAATGTTAGCTTTATCACTAATATTGAGCACTTTCCAATAAGTACCGTGCATATATAATACATAAATATATATAAAAAAATTGCACACACACACACATATATATATATATATATATATATCATACACAAGTTTCATTAAAGATGACTGACAAGGTACTGCAATTAAGGTTTATATTCAATTTTTCTTGCATTCATACAAATTTTCTTTTTCTGGATATTAAGTGTGTAAAAACTGTTCAAATGTTCTGATTGCTTTCGGCTTTTCTATTAGCCATTATCAAGGATGTTCTTTTTTTCTTAATTTTTAACTTAATATGTAGATTTTTGTTTTTATGTGTGTGTCTGTAGTGATGGGAATGTTTTCTTATTTTCTAAACACAGTCAGCACGTTGTGGCACGGGTCATAGTTGATGTTATTCAGTGGTTGCTTTTCTCTTTTTATTATTAATGCTTCCATTATTTTTAACCATTTTTTGCATGTAGATGAGGCTATTATGGTCATATTTTCTACAAACTTGTTGGTATGGAGGCAGCACGGTGGAGTAATGGATAGCATCTTGTATTGAGGAATTGGAGAGCCGAGTTCAAATTCCAGTCGAATCTATTACATTCACTTACGTGCTAATACCCTTGGGAAAGGTATGATTCCTCATCACCCAGCTATGGGTAAATAGCAGGACAGACCAGGTTCTATAGCCTTGGATAGCAACTGGTCTACCACAAAAAGAAATGGCAACCTACTGCGGGGAAAAAAAAAAAAAAAAAAAAAAAAAAAAAAAAAAATCGGTCATCAGTTATGTATTTAAAGATACATGATTGCCTAAGCATGTATCATGCATGACACATAACTGACTGATGTTGGTATGTTGTGGATAGAATTTGGTAGGTTTCTGTGTATGCTTAAATGGGTCTTAATTGAGCGATGATCTGAGAGATATAATGTGAGTCTTCCTGATAAGCATGTAGTGGTACGTCCAGTATAATTATTAAATTCTAATTGCATGAATACCAGAAAAATTTAATAAAAAGCTTAATCACAGTAACTTATCCGTCATCTTTAATGAAACTTGTATAAAAGAGGGATTGCTACCCAAACACACACTTGGGAAAATGATATAATTTTTTTTATATATCAAAAATAATTTTAGGAAAAAAAAGATCACTAAGTGAAAAAAGATTTGTGTGACGCATTTTGTCCCTTAGGACTTCATCGGACTAAATGTTTATGCTGATGCAACTACACATCTGCACGAAGGAGAGGGGCCACTGGGAACTTGAAAGTTTCTTTTTTTTAATTTAAGATATGTTTTGCATATATAATCTAGCCAATTTCATTTAAATACTTTTTCTTTATGGTTCCATCACTTTTGCAATTAAGTATCCTACATTGTGATAATAGATCTGCCAAGAATGATGAAACGTTGTAAGAATTTGGATGCAAATTTGCAGTGGATGAACTAGTGATTAGAACACTTTCGAACATTTTTGTCTTAGTAAATTGCTATAAATTGTTATATATATATATATATATATATATATATATATATATATATTTTAATTAAAAGCCTAATAATATGCAATAAATATTATTATTGTTATTATTATTGTTGTTTGGCCTGTCATCAACCTCTTATATCTACACAAACACATACCTATATATATGTGTGTGATAAAAATATAGTTTTAAGGTATGGTATATTTATGGTTAAAATTACTCAGTATCAGGGAGAGAGAGCGTGTGTAAATTTTATATATATATATATATATATATATATATATATATTAGATATATGAGGTGAAGATAGTTTTGTGCGATCTTCATGGCCTGATGATTGTATTTAAGCAAGAAACAGACTCCCACCACATGGTATTGACCTCAGTGTTCAAGCTCTCTCTCTTTATATATATATATATAATGTATACACACACACTCAACTCTCCCATCAATTCAGCGTATGAGGGTAAAGCAGATCAGATCCTAGGAACCGACAGCCCGGCATCAGCGCATTAGGTTTGATTATAGTGGTGATGGCTTTGTGCAGAACCATCCACACTTTTTGAAGGGCAGAACACAGAGACCTGGTGCACTATGTGCCACAAGGTCCCCAAATGACCCTCCGCAGGTTTTGAATTCAGAGTTGTCCTTTTCCTAGACCAGCTATAGAATCCAGTCTGTCCTGCTATTTACCCATAGCTGGAGGGAGAAGAGGAGGATTCATACCTTTCCCAAGGGTATTAGCATGTAAGGGAATGCAATGGATTCAACTGGAATTTGAACTCGGCTCTCCTATTCCTCAGTCGAAGCTGCTAACCACTACTCCACCGTGCCTCCTCCTCCCTCCTCATATATATATATATATATATATATATATATATATATATATATATATATATATATATATATATATATATATATATATATATATATATATATATATATATATATATTTGAAAGATTTACTAAAAATGTGCATACATGATGAAAAGATGTCCAAAACTTTAAAAGTTTTATATTTGAGCAAAGATAAACAGATTTCTTTGTCAAAATTATTTTTTTTTAAATTTTAGACCTTTAAGACTTTGGTTAAAATTTTTATTTTTCTGGCATCAATATGGGACCATAAATTTGTATCAGAAATTTAAGCATCTTCTTGCAGGGAAAATACATTTGGAAATTATTGCAAAATTCAGGTAATAGTCAGATTTTAATGCAACTTTCAGAATTATTTTGAAACATCCAAAAACATCCATTTTATTTGCTACAAAAATGCCTCACTACATAAATTTATGGAGAATATATATCATGCATAATGATGCAAAAGCATTTATTTTACACAACATTCCTTTTTTAGCACATTCTCTTCCATTGTCAATGCACTTAATAAAATGATGAATAGTAATCATATCAAATACTATATAGTGAATCATCGGGAATCATAACAGCAATATTTACAGTCTTTATATACAAATATTTGGCATTCGTTGACAGCACAGCTGCTACTACTACTACTGTAATTACTAATTCCTTTTAAACTCAACTCTCCAAATTTTTGCTGTAGCCAGGTATTGAACTCATAAATCTTTGTGTTAAGTCCCTTTTAGATTACTTCAACCAATACTTTTATCCATTGGACCATGTCCTTGAGAATAGAAGCATTGGCTGAAGTAATCCAAAAAGTGACTTAACCCAAAGAGTTGTGAGTTCAATACCTGGCCACAGCAAAGGTGAACAAAAAATTGGAGAGTTGAGTTACTAAAGGGAAATAACTGAAACTGAGATATCCAGAAAAGACAAGACATATGGAATGAGAACAATCTACCCCTATGGACTAAATAAAGAGTTTGGTTCAAAATTCCAATGTATATCACCTGAAGAAAGCCGGAGTGTACTACGGCTGAAACATTGTGAATATGAAAATAAAGATGAGGATATCAGTAAATGTAAATAGTGTAAAGAGTTATATCATCTCAGAAATATAGACAGAGGTTAACATTAATGCAGGCAGAGATGCAAAAAATTCAAATACTACAATAGAGATTTTAGAAAGAAGCAATAATTAAAGTTTTTTGGACAACTTACTGATTGAGTGACATGATTCAAGGCAGAGAAAATAGCCATCCTTTTTCAACCAAGTAAGAATACGTTCTAACAAGGCTTGCATGTCCTTCCCATCAAAGTACTGGAGCATCTCATCAATTATCACAATGTTTACACTGGAAGAGAAATTAAAGGTTGATAATTTAAATCATGTTTTTCGAAAACTTACACATATTTTTGTCTGTGTGTTTTCATGTATTTCTGAGCATATGTGCAACATTATGCCTTTGTGTGTATCTAGTTTATGTGTGCATGAGTATATACATCTAAGCAAATAAATGTATAAAAATATACACAAATGACAGTGCGTGTAATTATATCTGAATGTGTAAATGTGTGCCAAATTGAGTGTAGAGGTAAATTTCTAAGTTTTCTACAATATTACTCTTAAAATTTGCTTATGCAAAATCATGATTTTTTTTTCTAAAAACACATCATTACAATTTGACTTGGCTATTCCATTTCCTTGTAGATCTAGCAGTACGCTTAGGATCAATATCCAGTTGGAAAACCCAATCAGGAGGTAGCCGAAGTCTCTCAACAGAACACATTAAATTGTCTTGCAGGATTTTCTGGTATCTTTCGGCATTCATCTTGCCATCTATTATTGATATTCTGCCAACACCTTTTGCAGAAAAACAGCCCCAGATCATGATACTGCCACCACCAAACTTTACAGTTGGCAACGTGTTCTTTGGTAAGTAGGCTTCACCGTCCTTCCTCCACACATGATTTTGATAATTATGACCAAACAACTCTATTTGAGTTTCATCTGTCCATAGTACTTTTTCCCAAAATGAATATTCTTTATCCTTATGCTAACGAATTTTAGCCTAGCATCTCTGTGTCATTTCAAGAGGAGTGGAGTCTTCCTTGGGATGCGTGATTTCAGACTGTTTTTGTGTAGTTCATTACTTATTGTACGCTTGGTTACTTTAATCCTTAATGCACACAGATGTTCCTGCAGCTCTTCTCGAGTAACCTGTGGATTTTGTTGGATCTGACGTCCTAATATCCTTACTGATCTTAGAGAACTCATCCTCGGAGCAACTGTCCATCTTTGGTTTTTGACGCTGTTATGAGTTTTAAACCTTGCAATGAACAAAGTAATTGTAGTAAAAGGAATATTCAGGTTGTTAGAAATTGTTCTGTAACTGTTCCAATCTTTCCAAAGAGACAAAATGTGTTGTTTTTGTGAAATAGTCAATTATTTAGGCATTATTAGAACCTTCTTGTAAGATTAGGAATTGCAGAATGCTCTGATAATGGCTAATAGCGTTAACTATAATTACTGATAACATTACTGGAACATTCTAGAATATATTTTTTTCATAATTAATTGATTATTTTATTCTAATAATTGATTTGTACGAATACATTTTTCACCAGTTAGAATTTAAAAAAATGCATTAATTTCTGTTAGAATAAGAATTAATGAAGTTTATTATTTTTTAATAGTATACATAAAATGTGCTGAGATTTGCTTTATTTAAGGCTTTTACATTTATAAAAATACAATTTTTCAAGTGTACGAATATTTATTTCCCCCCACTATGTGTGTGTATATATATATATATATATATATATATATATATATATAAAAAGGCAGGATGTGTGTGTGTGCGCACGTATGTAACGAATGCACGGCTGCAATTTTCAACGAATTTGCACCAAAATTTACATGCACATGCTCCAAGTTAGCGGAAAGGCCAAGACTGATGTTGCATTTCCCAACTCCCATTGATAGTGGAAATAATCGAATTTTTCATGCTTCTATGGCAGTTTTCATGTAGTTTGTGGCCATTTTGTACAGGCCAGAGTGAGAGCCAATAGCTGGCTGCCACAAATAGGCAGGAAGATTCTATTGGCCAGCATGAGAGCCAACAGCTGACTGACATGAATGTTAACTAGCGTGCTAGTATGCAAAAAAAATCGATAGCTGCATTCGTCACAAGTGTGAAAAATTTAAATCTGCATGGCACTTTACTCCAATTGGCTCATTCGCTTGCTTAAAGTCAACGTTGATTCTGATTCCACAGAACTGGGTTGGGTGTGAAAAAGTATTTGTTGTTAATATTCTTTTTTCATTTGGTTTTTCCAGTTACGAGTCCTTTTTTAAAGCTGATTGTTTTGTGTTCATTTTGTTTAGTTCTTTTTTTGTAACAGATTTAATGTTTAGTATAGAGCTTAGAAAAAATTCGCAGTGTGAGATAGGCAAGAAGTAAGGCATGTAGCAACATCACCATGGCAAAGGGCACTTCTTTAAAGGCAAGGAAGGGCAAAAATATTTTAAGTCAAGTGATAGCGATTGCTGTATGAGTCGTACGATTTTTGAATCAAGCACGGGCAACGCTGCTAGTATATATATATATATGTATGCTTACACATATATATACATACACACTCACACACATGCATATATCACACACTTACACACACACACACACACACACACACACACACACACATATATCTATACGCATACATACACATATAATTTTAAACAATATATTTCATGAAAAATAATCAAACCTTACCTATCTGCTGGCTGATCGACCTGGAGCACGTTGTCCCCACAGTATTTGACATTTGCCTTCTCACCGACTGCTGTACGATTGGATGACAGAAAGTCCTTATTGCAATCAAAGATCAATAAACTTTTGCACTTTGAAGCAATCTCTTTTGACAGTAAACTGAAATTAGAATGAGAAGGAAATAATTAGTTTTTCATGTAAATAAATCTTAAAACTCTAGAGGTTTTCATATAAAACCCATTTAGGTTTCTCTGTGTCTCATAAAGGGGAAATCAATGCGCCAAGTTCAAATTGCAGCTTGCGGTGTTCACTAGTGTACAAATTCCATTGTGAAAGGAAAGAATCTATCTTTTCTCCCTCCAGCTATGGTTTAAATAGTAGTATATATTAAACTCTTCTTGGAATTTAATTTGAGAACAATATTTTACAAGTTCAAATTCTTGCTATTTTTTCTATCCCCACTCCAACCTCTCTTTTTACTTTCAAAACCGGCTCCCAAAGCCTTGATTCTTATCAGAGATAAGAATATATTTTCCGATTAACAAGAGAGCTGGAAAATCTAAAAAGGAATTCCACTAACATTATTCTTTCTATGGTGCCATAAAGTCTGAGGGAAACATCACAGCTTGTTCACTTCAACCTGTTTTCATTACTTTCAAAACCAGCTCCCAGATCTCCGATTCTTATCAGAGATAAGAATATATTTTCTCACCAATGAAGGGGCTAGGAAATTTGTTTAACAATTTTGGAGGGAAAAGTCCCAGATTCTTCTGAGCCTACCAAATCTCCATGAATTTGAAGAATTTTTACCTATTTGGCAGTGAGAATTCAGCCCACCATCTGTAAGGTTGACAATAGAAAGCACCAGTCAACTTCAGAACCACTTTCAACCAAAGAAGACATTTCTACTGGGCTGGAAAGACAGACTGTCAGCCCACTACTAAAAACCATTTGAAAGCTGCATCCCTTCACCACTCCTTCTGTCATGCCCACTGGACTTCTGTGTCATTGGCCTACGAACTCGCTCAACTGCAAGATTTCTATATCTACCAATAATTTTCCTACTCTACAAGACCTGTGAGTGTTTCTAAACCTTAACAAAATTCTACTCACTCAAAGAACTTTTTAGGTGCTCAGAGAAATATTTTGAGCAAGCCTTTTTTCTGTTATGAACATTTTCTCTTCCCTTAAAGGACATTTTCTCTTTTCCCTTTCTTTCATTCCTAATTGTCTTTATCCATTTACTGTTTTTTCTGTATATGTAAAGAAACACTTTCTTTTATTGTTACACACCAAGCAGGAGTTTTTTCTTTATTCATCTGCACCTAAAAGAGAGAGTTTGTCTGCTCTAATCTTGCCATTTTTACTTGCGTTTTGTCACAATTTTTCAACTTCACCCTTTTGACACAGGAAAGCTGGGACAAATTTCCCTGCACTCTCTAGTCTAGGCTAGGCTAGTAACTGATCTAAGAGAAGAGCAACTCTGAATTGATATCCAAACCATGGAGAAGGCAAAGGAAAACCACTCCACTGTTTTAGAAGACAGTAAAATATAAGCATTGATAAATATTGTTTTAGTTATTTATTCAAGTTTTTCCAGTCTCTCCAAAAATGATGTATTCCTTTGTAATTTTTAGTATGACCAAATAGTACCATGTGAATGATTGTTGAAAGCTATGACTAATTTGGATAGGGTAAGTAGAATTAGGTCAGGGTTGCAGGATGATTTCAGTGCTGACAGAAAACATGGTTCAGGTTAAGCAGTCAAGAATATGGTCATATTTTAAGCCTTCTACATCAGCCAATAAACTTTGACCTTTCAATCCTCATAAACTGTGCCCCTCCACCTCAAGGGGAACTTGGGTCTTGTACAGAGTGATCACCATTGCAAATTTTAAAAAACGAGTTATTGAGTTATTGGTTATTTTGCTGATCTGAAAATCTCCAAAAATTTTCCCTTATGGCAAGTAATGGCAAAAAAAAAAAAAAAAAAAAAAAATGAATTAAAAGTCTTGTCTATGGTATGCCAAGGTATTTGAGGGGGAAAATAGAGTAAAAGAGAATTTGGGTAAATCACTCTCCCATAATTACCATCCAGGTAGTATTAACTGAAGAAAAAAAAATCAATACACCTATTGACAAACATGAAAGGGGCCAGCATCCCTTACACAATGATTATAAACATTGACTCACCAGTTATGAGCTCCTATTTGAATCACATTACAGTCGGACACGTCTGTATGCTGTGATATGGCTTTCAAGATATTTTGGGTAACAAACTCGTCTTCATCAGTTGATCGTTTTGTTCGGCTTGAAGTTGTCTTACAGTGTATCGGCCAGAAGTCTGCCATGTTGAATTTCTGTACTTGAGTAAAAAAAAAAAAAGAAAAAAAAAAGAAATTGACAATGTAAGTATCAAATTAATTTAAAAGAATTTAAAAAACATAACTTTGCTATTTTGCTGATGATTACAGTGGTTCATTTTTAAGAGGAAACAGCTGTTGTATGAATGCATATTTAGGTAAGAAGTTGCAAAGGTCCAGGCCCTCCCTCTGAACAATCCTTTCCAGGATTGAATAGCAACGTAAAATCAAGGGCAACTGGTGAAGGATTAATTGCAGTGATTAGCCAGGCCAAGTTTCGATTCAAGGGATATCCTTCTCATGTCTTACATCATATATCATGGGCTATGCTCTGCCATGCTGATCCATGACATGTTGGCAGGGGGTTTAAATTGAGAACTGTCTTTCTAGACTGATTACACCACAGAGACTAGACAGTCCAACCTACAATGCTATTTTACACATAACTGGAAGAAGAGATAGCTTCATACTTTTCTCAAAGTAAATGCATCAGATTTGGCAAGAATTTTAATTTGGCTTACCAATCCTATTTTTCACAATTGGTAGGCCAAATTAAAATTCTTGCCAAACCATGCTCGTGTCTGGCCTCTTGACTCTCATGCAAACTGTACTCATGTCTATCCTCAAGCAAACTGAGCTCATGTGTGCCTTTTGACTCTCATGCAAACCATGCCCAGTCCTACCTACCATAATCATGACTACCTTCTTGACTCATGCATACCATTTCCATCACTACTCCCAAACTCAGCCCATGCCTAACCATTTGAATTTGTCTACTTTGGTTCTTGTCTTTACTAGAATTATGTTTATCCCCTTGTCTCTCACACAAAGCAGACCTTGCCAGACATTTTGAGCATCTTTCAAAATCAACTCCTTAGAAAATAAAGAATTTCATTTTCTATCAATCTTGTTGAGGAAAGCATTTCATATCCTTAAATCTCTATATTTTATAGTGTAGAACTTTGTGTATGTACATATTAATATATCCTCAACAAATCTATCAAACTTGTTATAGAGCTTACCACTACACTATGATTGCCCCTAACCACTCTTCCAACAACTTATGACAGATTAAGTTTAGTTAATATCGTGCTTATCACTAACTTGAACAAATTCAAGTGGATTCCATTATCACATTAAAGGTCAGTGTTAAATTTTCAAAAAGCTTAAATAAAACAAAAGTGTTTATTTTCATCAATGTCTTCTTTATCTGTTACAAGTTTATATTTTATTTTGCAAATGATGACCCAAAAAAATTATCAACACCCATATTTCCACTCATTGACAGTATCACAATTTTGATAAGACACTATCAGTCTGGTTTCAATGTTTTTGATAACACCATACAAGAAAAAATAGGATAAAAACAAGGGAAAAGATAAAACACTGTATAACATATATAATACTTATATGCAAGCAATGAGTTTTCAGTATGCAGGGAAAATTCAATTGCCTCCCCAAAAAGGTAAAATACAACACAAGGCCATTTTTAATATAGAGGACCCATATACTTTCCCATGGGTTATGTTTCCAAAAATTGGCCCCTTCCTAGAAAATGTACCCTGAACCAAACCCAATATATTTAGTGTAATGTGGAGGTAGTGCTAGAGAAACAGGAAGCTAGACACCAGGCTTTTATATTTATTTTGTAAGTTTCAGGGTACAAATGATCAGGGATTCCCAGTTTGAGCCAGAAGATGAGAAAATGTACATGAATTAAAAAAAAAAAAAAAACATCAAAGGAAGGTTGAATTATACATGAGGCTGAAAACTCAATTTATCCTCTTAAATAGCCTTTACATATACAAACTCTTATATCAAAATCATGCATGGTGTCTAACTCATTCAGAAATGTCTAAGCTATCATCTATATACAATTGTCTGATCAATGATTAACAATGGCTTCAATTGAATGAATCTTTTCAGTCTTAAAGAAGACAATCCCTCATCAGATCCTATAACTGTTTTTTGATTGGTGTTTTCCCCAGAACTGCAAGAGATTGCTAGGGGTTTCACGAGAAACAGTGATAAATAGGCTAATGCATTTTTGAGTAATTTTTGTTTAATTTTATATTCATAATTTTATTATACATATACGTCATATTGTTGGAAAATCCTTGGTTATTATAAAAGAAGGCTTCAACCACTTATATTATTTAAAATTATGATAAATATAGGGAATTTATTTAGTGATGTCTATATGGCGTCAGTGTGTTTAGTGGACAGAACCTGTATGTGGCAGATTTGTGTATCATTGAGTGGCACACTTAAGTACAGGACAAGTGTTCATATATTATGTTTACCACATGAATTACAATAAAAATACAAACGAGATAGATATTAATGGTCTGTAACAATTTTTATGCAGGAGCGCCTTGAGAATGAAAACTATTTCAAGAATTTCACAAGGGTAAAAGGTTTGAGAAATGCTGTCCTATAGGCTGGTGCTACAAAATTACTAAAAGCTTTGTCAAATAACGAAAGTCACATCACTTGAAATATTTTCAATGGTAACAAAAATGGCCAACATAGAAGAGAAAAGATAATCCAGATGTTAAATTTACCACACAGCCAAAAACAAAAGTTTTGTCAATACTAAAAAGAGCAATAACATTTAGTGGACTTGAGAATTATAATTTCCTTGATAACCATTTTCAGAGAAAAATTTTTATAAATTTCAACTAACAATAATGCTAAGCCAATTAATTTATTTTTTTACATTTTTATTTTAAAAAAAAAAAAAAAAAAAAAAAACGATGTTCACCCTGTACAATGCCCAAGAGCCACTCAAGGTAGAACCACTTGTGGAAGATAATGGTTGGCCCTAGACTTGAACAAGTTAAAATTGTAGTGATTGGGAAAGCATCCTCTTGGGAGTCAATTGCACAAAGCAGCAGGTCTTAGCTGTGACCATTAGGACTGGTGGAACTAAGGAATGTAGTTCATCTGAACACTTTGCATAGAAATAGCAAAAGAGAAGTGAGAGGGGATGTAGGATGGAAAATAATTTGTCATCCACAAGGACACTTGATCTCTGTTGAGACTGAAAAGTGAAGACTTGGCATCTCCTGCCCATATATGGAAGCAGTATTCCATGTTCCATCTGATTTGGCTCTTGTAAAAGTAGAGGATAGCAGGAAGAGTCAGGCACTTGCTGGAGACCATTTTTTCTTGAGCAATGGATTGTCTGTACAAGTTCAACTTGAAGTCAGGGCTGAGCTTAATCCCAATAAGGGCTCAAGGGAACATCCATTCACCGGGATTGGTGAAAGTTCAGTGTTCAATCAACAATGATGAAATGTCATTAATTGGGTTTTCAAGGCATGATATGTGACTAGCCTGTTTTTCTCCACCACTGAGCTGTTAAAGCTAGATCAAAGTAGAGATCAGCTGCCAGAGTTTTGGAGTATCATCAGGATAGATATTCACAAATGAGTGTAATCTTAGGCAGATCATTTATGCAAAGTAGAAAGAAGGTTGAACTGAGAAGCGAACCTCATGGACTGCCAGCAGTGAGCACTCGGGCTTTGAAGGACTGGCTGTAGGGAAATGGTCAATCTCACTATTACCATAATTAATACTGTGACTGTTTTATTTATTTGTATCATTAAAATAGCCACTCTATACAGGGCATGTATTTACATCAATAAGTCTGTAGCCCAATGAAAATACAAAACCATTTACAACAATATTTATTTTCCAATAATTTCCTTCCTTGTCCATACACTTATCCCAACACTTCTTCATCGAGACATTATACAATGAAAATATCAGATCAAGATTCAGCTAATAACTTTGTCAAAGAGGGACCTACTGATCCACATTTATATCTTCCGACAGAAAACTTTATTTTATCCTTCTTTAGGGCTGCTTTAAGAAAATTATTTTTACAAATTTCCACCAACACTAATACTTCAGTCAATGAATGCTGAATATTTGTTGTGTGAAAATGGCTAATTTTACCATTACTACAAGAATTGGTCTTGCCACAAGAATCCATTGCAATTGGTCTTAACAAAAGTAAACATCGCAATTGGTCTTGCCACGAGAATCCATCGCAATTGGTCTTAGCAAAATTAAACATTGCAATTGCTCTTAGCAAAAGTAAACATTGCAATTGCTCTTAACAAAAGAAAGCATTGCAATTGCTCTTAACAAAAGAAAGCATTGCAATTGCTTTTAACAAAAGAAAGCATTGCAATTGGTCTTGCCATGAGAATGCATCATAATTGGTCTTTCTATAAGAATGCATTGTAAATGACTATTATTTTGGGAATATATTATAAATGATTTTACTGTAGAGATTATTATTAGAAAGAGCATTAAAAGTGGACTTGAGAAGTTTGGTTTCTTGAAAAACTGTTTTAATAAAAAGATTTTATAAATTTCCAATGACACTAATGCTCACTGTTCAGTCAATGAATGCCAAATATTTCCTGTATGAAGTTCATTTGACAATTGCCATACAAATGATTTAGACTTGATTTTTTTCTCTTTCCCTCCTATTTAATATACATTTGTTACACTTGATAGGAATTTATACATAATCATATTTTAACAAGCTATAATGTGAAGTAGGTAATCAAGTTTTATGCTTCTTTTTTTTTTAACTAAATGTTTGCCCAATACAAGACGTGAAAGTCAATCAAATTAGAAAGTTACCAAATGAAGCAGTTTATGTAAGTGTAGATTATGAGGATATGTAGGATATATAATTGCTAACTCTAAACTTGGAGAGGTTAAGTTTATAGTGATGGGGAGAATCATCCACATGAGCCTGTCCCCAAAGTAGCAGTTTTAAGGAAGAAATGGAGTGGAACTTCCTTCTTGCCAAGAGAATAAGAAAGGAATGAAGATGATTCCACCCTGTGTATGTGGTGTGATTGGTCTTAGATGCAAAGGTCTGAACTGGTGGAATTAAGGAATGTAGGCTGTCTGAACATTTTCTATGGAAATGGCAATATAGTAGCAAAAATCTTGCTGCATTTCATCCATGGGAAGTGGGGCTGTAGGGTTGAGAATAATTTGTTACCCCCAAGGCTGCATAAACACTTTTGAACTCTGGCAAGGTTGGAAAATGAGGACTAGACAGCTGCAACTCAAATATGGCGGCAATACTCCATTTTTGGTATAATTTGACTCTTGGTAGGAGAAGCTGGGTACTTTCTGCAGCAGTACAAACCCTTTTCCCAGTATCGTTAGCAATAAATAGGATGTATGAGTTCCACTTGAGATCTGTGGTGAACTCAAGTCCCAATTGATTCTCAAAGCAAGTGGTTTCATAGAAACTAGAACTATTCCACAAGTCAGTCAGTTATGTGCCATGCATGAGACACACTTAGGCGATCATGTATCCTTCAATTCTTGATTAGCAAGGCAGATTTTTTTCCCCTGCAGTAGGTTGCCATTTCTTTCTGCAGTAGACTAGTTGCCATCCAAGGCTATAGAACCCAGTCTGCCCTGCTATTTACCCATAGCTGGAGGGAGAAAAGGAGGATTCATACCTTTCCAAAGGATATTAACATGTAAACAAATGCAATGCATTTGAGTGGAATTCAAACTTGGCTTTCTGATTCCTCAATTCAAGCCGCTATCCATTATTCCACCGTGCCTCCATTCCTCATCTGATGAAACATTACTAGCTTGGTTTTGAAAGTATTGAATGTCACAAGACAGTTCTTCCTCCATTGAGCTGTTAGAGCTTGATCAGAGGAAAGATCAGCAGCAAAGCTCTGATCATCTGAACGTGATTCTATAAACTGTGATTCCTTCAAGTACAAACAGGATGGCTTTTCTTCCCTCAATCAAAACATCTTGTTGGTTAATTTGATTTGATTGTTTAATGGCATATCAACTCATTATGGGTCATTTAATGCTGAAATTAATTTTCTTGGAAGCTTTTGATTAAATCTGTTATTCTGCTTTCATAATTGGATACATGGTAGATGATACTCAGCTTTTGTGCATACATATGTTTATCTTGGATTACCAAGTTTTTCGTTACTTTATATATATATATATATATATATATATATATATATATATATATTCAAACATATATTGTTAAATACAAGATAGCAAATATCTATTATGTTTCATCATGAGCCCTTCTCAGCTTTGTACAGTTGCTTTAATCAAAGTAGTTACAACACATTACATTGTATCTAAATATATGGTTCTGGTGTTAATATTTCACTCTCTCATGTGGTTCAACATCATAGAACTGCATCACGAGTGCTATTCCGTGACCATTATTGTCGCATAGCAATCTCCTATGTCAACATGTTCTTCTATATTAACAGAATATCCTCTTTGATGGTGAATATCTTTGTTTAACTGTCCATATAACCACTCTGATGATGGCTCATGTGAGCTGAAAGCTTAGATCAAGGAACAGCATAACAAAAAAAAAAATATCCAAATGTTGGACAGTTTTTGTTTTTATTTTCTCCTGAAATTAAAGCAACTATATGAAGCGTAGAACGGCTCATGATCAAATATAATAGACATTTGTTGTCTGTTATATTTAACAAAATATGTTTGAATAATGATCTGCTGCCCCAACACACATATATATTACTCCAATCATTATTTTAGTGGATAGCCATATTTATTTTGTCTACCAGCCTACATACTTAAAAAAAACTTATTGAAAATGTGCCCTCTAGGGATACTGGTTCAAATCCTGCCAGGGGGCACATTTTCTTTAATAAGTTCTCTCAAAATCCATTAATTCTTTAAATTATATATAAGACAGCCAAGCATAGACATGAATACAATATGAGCACTAGCAAAACAGAGTACTAGAGAAAAACAGCAGTACCAAAAAAATTGTAATATGAGCTCTGGTAAAAAATGATACCGAGACATTAGGTTTATAAATCCCACAAATTCACTAAATGATGTCCCCAAACCCAGTGAATAAAAGCATTGTTTGAGTAATCCAAAGAGTGACTTGACCCAAAGAATTGTGAGGAACTTGGTGAATTACTAAAAGGAATTAACTGAAAGGGAATTAACTGAAAGTGAAATATCTAGAAATGCATGGCACATGGAATTAGAACAATCTGGACTAAAAATAAAGGGTTCAGTCAGAATTCCAGTGTATATCACCTGAAGAAGGCCTGAGTGTACAATGGCCAAAACATTGTAAATATGACAATAAAGATGAGGACAATAGTCTGAATGATGTAAATAGTGTAAATATGTAATCTTAGAAATATTCACGGAGGTAACTGTTCTTTTTTTTTTGCTGTCCATTCTTTGGTTTGGTTTGTGGCATATCAACCTCAATCGGTTATTTAATGTCGACATGATTTTTATTGCTGGTAATATTTTCTCAAAAATATATTGCTGGTAATGTATTTTTTTTCCTTCAAAAACATGTATTGCTAGTAATAATGTATTGCTGATAATTTTTTTCAAAAATTCATTGCTGGTAATAATTGTTTGCAAAAATGTATTGATGGAATTAAAATCTATTTTTACACTTTCATATTGTTTTGACCACAGTTTGAGGTGGGGGGTTACTATTTACCCATACCTGGGACCCTATCAGGTGCTACCACCCTTGGAACCTGGACCTGGGAACACCAGCAATAAGGAGGTGGTTTCCCACTCCTCAAACCTTCTGATTAGAGGCCTTGCTTGTTGGATGTAGTTTATCATCTTACCCAGGATGCCACAATTAGAGGAGTGTGTGTGTGGGGGTCTGACCCCTCTGATTCTTCTAACTATTTTTTTGGAAGATAATAATAATTTAGTAATACAAGTCTTACCAATTAACCCATAGCTGGGAGAAGAAGGTGGATATCTTTCCAAAGGGTATTTGTGTAACTAAATATAATGAACCTAAATGGAATGGCTCCTCGATTAACAATTCTGAGCCATTATCCACTATGCCACCCACACACCCAAATTTACAGCAGCTGGTACTCCCAAGCAGTCACCCATCTGGGTACTGACCAGACTCAACATTGCTTAACTTAAGTGATCATACAGGAAACTGGTGTTTCAACATGTGTCCATAAGCTGATGTGAATGATGATGGTTCTACACAACTTCCTGTCCTTTGTAGCTGTTAGAAACATTTATCTTTTTTGCTATCTCTCCTAATCCCTGTTTTGCCAACTATTTACATGCACTTGTGAGGTAGGTAATTTGCTGCTTTCCTCATGTCCTTCTGAATGTTAAATTTTCCAAGCCCTCTTTTCCCATTAGGTGCCCTGGAAATTTCAATTGTCTCTTTTGGATTCTAATTATAAGTATCTTTTTGTTTATATTTTCTCTAAAACTTCACTGCTTACATGTTCAGTCTATAATATATAATATATAATATATATATATATATATATATATATATATATATATATATATATATATATAGCAGCATGGCCCAGCGTTGCCCGTGCTCGATTCAAAAATTGTACAACTCATACAGTAATCGCTATCACTTGACTTAAAATATTTTTGCCCTTCCTTGCCTTTAAAGGAGTGCCCTTTGCCTTGCTGATGTTGCTACATGCCTTACTTCTTGCCTATCTCATACTGCAAATTTTTTCTAAGCTCTATACTAAACATTAAATCTGTTACGAAAAAAGAACTAAACAAAATGAACACAAAACAATCAGCTTTAAATAAGGACTCGTAACTGGAAAAACCGAATGAAAAAAGAATGTTAACAACAAATACTTTTTTCACACCCAACCCAGTTCTCATGGAATCAGAATCAATGTTGAGTTTAAGCAAAATGAGCCAATTGGAGTAAAGTGACATGCAGACTTAAATTTTTCCCACTTGTGACGAATGCAGCTATCGATTTTTTTGCATACTAGCATGCTAGTTAACATTCATGTCAGTCAGCTGTTGGCTCTCATGCTGGCCAATAGAATCTTCCTGCCTATTCGTGGCAACCAGCTATAGGCTCTCACTCTGGCCAGTACAAAATGGCCGCAAACTACATGAAAAGTGCTGTAGAAGCATGAAAAATTCAATTATTTCCACTATCGATGGGAGTTGGGAAATGCAAAGTCAGTCTTGGCTTTTCCGCTAACTTGGAGCATGTGCATGTAAATTTTGGTACAAATCCGTTGAAAATTGTGGCCGTGCATTCATTACACACACACACACACATCCTGCCTTTTATATATATATGATTTTTTTTTACAGTAAGGTTCACCCTGTACAAAGACTGGTGGGGGGGCACTTGAGGTAGAGAGTTATGTTAAAGGATAATTTATACAGATAAGAGGGGAAGATAACGGTTAACACTTGACTTGAACAGGTTAAGGTTGCAGTGATTGGCAAAACATCCTCTTGGGAGTGTCCCACAAAGGAGTGGTATGCAGGAAGAAGCTTTTGAGTGGAAATTCTCCCCAATGGTATACAGAGGAGATGTGGGTCTGAGTATCCTGCTGTAGACCCACATTTCTGTTGCTTTAATTCCCTTCCTCATCTGTGAGGAGATTGTCCAGCATTGACCTTCATTTAGGAGGACCAGTATTACATAACTGTCTAGTTCTCTTTTCTTTGTTTCTAACAAAATTTTCCTGTTTTTTAATACTTTGCTTAACTTCTGGAAGGCAACTTTTACTATTCCAGTGCAACTTCAAATTTCAATGTTGCATTTTCCTACCTAGTCTTATTGAAATATACATTTGACATACAGGACAGGAGTTTGGATATGCTTATAGAAACACATTATATTGTTAAGTAGTTACTTAAGCCTTAAGTGGTTCAATCCTAACCTTGTTCTCTATAAATTAATTTCCTTAAAGTATGAGAAGGACAGGGTTTCTTCACCAACTAATGCCTCAACTTTAACATATACGGCAGTGAATGCTGGACAATCTCCTCACAGATGAAGAAGAGCCTTGAAGCAACAGAAATGTGGTTTTACAGAAAGATGCTGAGGACACCATAGACTGAACATGTGAGCAACGACAAGGTTTTGAAGAAAATGAAAACAGAAAGGAAACTTATACTTAACATCAGGAAGAGGCAGCTGAAATTTCTAGGGCACATAATGAGGAAGGAGGGCTTGGAAAATCTGATACTCACAGGACAGATTGGGTGAAAGAGGGAGAAAGGTAAGTAGTGTGTAACATACTTGATGAGCTTGAATAAATGGATTGTAGAAGAGGGTTTGGGAGAAACAACAAAAAGACTAAACTTATTAAGAGCTAAAAGAGACAGGAAGATGTAGAGGGCCATGAACACCAATGTCCTGAAGAGTCATGACACATACAAGGAGATATCAAAGCTAACAATCTTTTGACAAAATGGCATTTATAAAAAAAAAAAAAAAATTTAAGGTTTTTAATTTCAATCAGAGTAATTACACCCAGGATATATATAGTATAGAAAATATCTGGCTACTTTCATTTTCCAAGCACACCCATCTTTTAGGGTGGCTAGCCAATCACTGTTGCAGACAACTGCTCAAACATAGTTGTGTTTATTTACACTATTTACATTGTCCAAACACCTGTTCTCATCTTTATTGCCATATTTTGGGCATTGTACATTCCAACCATCTTCAGGTGATATTTATTAGAATTTTGAACTGACCCCTTTATTTAGCCCACGCAGGTAGATTGTTCTAATTCCATGTGCTATAATTCCAATGACACATGGCCCAGTGGATAAAAGTGTTGTTTGGGTAATCCAAAAAGCGACCTGACCCAAAGAGTTGTGAGTTCAATAACTGGCCACAGCAGAGGGAACAAAAACTTGGAGAATGAACTGAAACTGAGATGTCAAAAAAAAAAAAAAAGGCATGGCATGTGGAATTAGAACAATCTACTTGCCTTTAATGTTCAACCCATTCAAACCTGCCCCATAAATATTGGCTCTCAATATTCAACCTACCCCATGTATATTTTCTCATATCATCACAAAGAATACAGGAAGTCATACAGGCAGTGAAACTTTGCCCACAAACAGTGAGACTTTGAGTGCCGATATTTATGTGGTGGGTCTGAGCATGTTGAATGCTAAAGGGTTAATTCATGAAGTGAGGGGGAATTGAACAAAATTATTAATCCTTTGCAAAAGTTAGCAGGTGCAGAGAAAGGAGCCAACGCTTTCACAGTCAACTTCTTTAGTGCAAAGATTTGACGTTATTAAACTCAAAATTGCAGAGAGAGAGAGAGAGTGAGAGAGAGAAGTGAATTGTCAAAAGGAAATGAGGGTAGAAGAGAAAGAGAAATTTAATTTTAATCTTTTCAATCATTCTGTGTTACATCTATGGCCATATTTAACCTTTAGCACTGCATTATTAATATTATTTCTATTTCCACCGCATTCTTTTTCAAGGCCTCTCAATTAAAGTAACCTTATTGTTAATTTCACTCAAAGGTGTTTTCTGTTTCTATAGCAGGATATGACAACACAACTATGAAACTCAAATTCAGATTCAGAGATTAGAGTCACTTTCAGTGGCAGGATAAACTTTTTGCACAGCAAATGAAGTCACATACAGAGTGATAAAGGTTAAATTATTCCTCCTTGCCACTTTAATTTTCTCTTTGATCCTTCCAAATGGTGATGAGGGAGGGGATAGTTAACTTCATGTACCCTCTTCCCTTATTAAGTGGCTGAGAAAAACCAAAATATTTGCTTTGAGATGGCATTACATACAAATGTATTCAAATTTTTCTTTTTTTTTTTTAACAATACCAATATTGAGATTGTGTTATATACACGAGGTAACATTGTATACAAATGTGATAGATTTTGTATCATGAAGAAGAAACATCTGACTAGACAATGGTAATATTAGCCATTTCCCTACAAGGAAACATTTGGTATACATTGACTGCTTTTAACTGAAATTTATAAATTCTTTATTTAATACAATTTTTCAGGAAAATAATTTTCAAAAATCTGTTCAAAGCTGTTATTGCACTTCCCAGTTTGATTGAAGATTTCATTTCCTAACTTTTTGCTTGAAGTAGTGTGGAATGTCAACATTTTGATTATGTCATTATTTTCTCTTTGAGTTATATACATATAGGTTTCTCATGTCCACTAGCTATTATTGCTCTTTCCAATATTGATATTAGCAGTTTCCCTACATAGAAACATTTGGCATTCACTGAACAAGCAGCTAGTACAGTTTTCAGCTGAAATTTATGAAGTCTTTTCTTAAAACAATTTTTCAGGAAAATAGGTTTTCAAGTCCAGTAGCTGCTATTGCTATTTGCATATTGATTGGGAGATTCCTTACTAACTTTTTAGTTGAAGTAGAATAGAATCTTGATTGATCTAAAATGACAAAGATATTATTTGAAATGAGAAGTTTTATTCACAATATTCACAAGTAATGGAAGTTTATAATGGTATTATAGTCAGTCAGTTATGTGTCATGCATGATACACGCTTAGGCAATCATGTATCTTTCAACACATGACAGATTTTTTTCCTGCAGTAGGTTGCCATTTCTTTCTATGGTAGACCAGTTGCCATCCAAGGCTATAGAACCCGGTCTGTCCTGCTATTTACCCATAGCTGGGAGGAGAAGAAGAGGATTCATACCTTTCCAGAGGGTATTAGCACGTAAGTGAATGTAATGGATTCAACTGGAATTTGAACTTGGCTCCCCAATTCCTTAATAATTTGCTAAAGGCAGTCAATGTATATTAGTCTGACTTGAAAGTAGTAATTAGTGTATTTTAGTATCTTACATAGTCTTACAAATGCCTGCCTCAGATTGTAGGCATCTATATGAATAAGTAAGTACAAAGTGAGGAAGAAAATGCTTACTATGTTGTGACTATAACTGTTCCAAGCCACAGAAATGTTCCGGTTTAGCAAAGCTTGAATTATTGCTTTTAAACACACACCTTTGCCGATTAATTCAAGTTTGCTAAACTAGAAGTTCTCTGTGCCTGAACGATCATAGCATGTAAGACTTAATGACAGTTCCATCTAGAATACAGGTTTGATTCCTTTCAGAGGACATATACTTTTTACGAAATTTCTTGAAACATTCAGGCTGGTAAATGTAATAAATTAATTCTGTTTAATTAAAAGAACAGAGCATTTACTCAAATTAGTGTATTCATAAAAGAAACAAAAAAAAAAAACGTTTATACAGAAAATTATGAAATTTTGAGAAATTATTTTTTATATCACTTAATGTTTATATTTTTCATAAGGAATTTAAATCATTAAATTTTTTGATAAAACTAGATCCCCAGTTACAGAAAATCTGGTCTGAATTGTAAAACAAAAAAATGCAATAAAAACTAATTATTTAATTAGAAAAGCTTTTAATTGCTTTTATGAATAAAATATATTGTGGACATTATTGTCTTAAGAAAAAAATGTTTTTCAATGAATAATGAATTTTTACAAGAACTGTTTTCATTTTTTTAAATTTTAATTAGAATAATATATAAGCTTTTAAATCTTTTGAAATTCAGTATTAATTAATAGTGGCCACCTGATATCATTACTAAATTAAAAAAATGAAAAAGCTTACTCCAATTGAAACCCCCATTATATTAGAAAGAATCTTGAATCTTTATGTATAAATATACTGATTTTTGTAAATACAGACATCTATACACATTATCAGATAATAAGAGAAATATCTACAGTAAATTTAAAATTTATTGGTAATTTTTTAACATTTTTTCAACAAGGATTTTCATAAATACCTAAATTTCAATAAAATATTAGCTTGCATAAAATATTTTCTTAAATTTTTAAGATTATTGGGTAGTTAAAAATTATGTAAAAATAAATTTGTTCACATATTCCTCAATTAAATTACCAAATATCAGGCTGTTAATAAATCACTAAACATGGCAAAATTTAGCTGATTATTAAATTAGCTAATTTTTCTCAAATAATGTTTCAGAAAAGTATATTTTATTTTTGAAAGTTTTTTTTAATAAAGAGAATTATGTTGGGCTGACAAATCTGCCATGAATGAATTTATAAATTTTACTGATAAGGAGAAAAAGAAAAAAGTTTCCAATCAATTTAAATTCAGTTTCAAATACAATAAAGTAATTTGCTTATTGAAAATATTAAATCTAATTTATTAGCTAAGAATTAAAATTAAAGCTTTAAGAAAGATTTTTTCATTTTTTAAAAATGCATTTTAAACTTAAATATTACTTTTTTTTGGAGGTACCTCTAACTTTGTTTTGTGTAAGTGAATGACAACATAGGGACTGGGAGTGATAAAGAGATAACAATCACTTAGAGCTACAAAAATTAGGAAGTTGTGGAGAAACATGATTGCCAATGTCCTGAAGATAAATGAGACATGACGAGGAAATAGAGCTTGGAGAATTTAACACTTGCATGACAAATTGGGGGCAGAGGGAAACAGCAGTAACCTACTTAATGAGATCGTGTGTAGGGAGTGGCAGATATAGTAAGGAAAGAGCACAAAAATTATTTAGAACTACAAAGGATAGGAAGTTATGGAGGGTCATGATCACTCCCGTCATGAATGCAAAAGTAGCGTTAAATTCGTATGATCGCTCACAATTGTGAATGGAAAGGTACTATTATTAAGTCATCGGCTACTAGAAAATCGGTGGTGTACCTATTGTACTAATTTCGTAAATGTTTGGACTTCCATTTCAGCATTTTTTTCTTTTTTTTTGTGATACCTCAAATAAAAAGGTTTGACTTTCATCTTACCAGGTCAATGTACATAGCAAAGCCGGCCACTAATTACTACTCATTCATCGCTTCATTGTTTCAAAAGAAATCGATAGTTAGCAACGATTTGAAATACGTGGTGTGTAAAAATGTTTTCTCAACCAATCTTGTAGGTCAAATAAGTCGCACTCAAATAGGCGTCATTTTTTTTTGTCATCAAAATCTAAATTCGTTATCATCGTTTCAAAAATAAAATAACACGAAGTGTAAAATTTAATTTCACAGTGACTAAAAAAGAGTGTAGTGTAGTGAAAAAAAACATAAATCTTTTTTTTAAAATGAATGTTTTTTTCTCCTCAATAAAAAAATGTTTTATCGGATATTTGGAAATGTAACATCGTTAAGAAAGTTTGTGGAAAAAAATCCTATCTATTATAAAACCGGATATATTTGTTTGTAAAAGCTAAAAGAAAAAGGTGTTAATTATTATTATTTTGAAAAAAAAGATGCTTTTTTTTCTGTGATATTTTTAAAGTAAACTAAGAAAGTAAGTAATTGTTTCAAATCAGATTTGTAATTAAAAACATTTAAAAATCAATTTGCTCATTTGAAATATTTAAATTAAAACTAAAATAAAAGCTTCAAAAAGGTTTTTCAATTTTAAAAATGCATTCTTTTTCGTTTCTTTGAACTTGGCGGTACTTTTTTCGCTTTGGAAACAACCAGACTTAATTTACAAAATAAATTTTAAAAAATTAAAATTTTTCTGATTCTTTCTTAGGATATTTTTGAGAAAGTGAATAAAAAAAAATAGTCAAATTCATTTTAATGAAATAACAAGAGAAAATTCTATCCAAATTTTTTAAAAGAAAAAAGTAATAAAACTAAAACATTTGGCAGAATTGATGGGTACGCTTTTTGTTCTGGTTTAAAATAATTTTGCAACCAGATTAAAGTTAAAAAAAAAAAAAACAGAAAAACTGGATAGATGCGAAGCAAGTGCTTTATTTAATCTACACAAGCACTTGACTTTTTACTAAAGTTAAAAAGTAGTAAGTAATTTTAGTGATTTTTTTAGCAGTAACTTTGGTGATAGCTTTAAAAAGTTAAAGAATTAGTAGTTAGAATTCGAAAAAATAGATCATCACATTTTTTTTAGATGAGACCCTGACAAATTTCAAGAACAATAAGTAAACTAAACATTTTTTAAAAGATTACATTTCTTTTAGTAGTGTTAGAAGAAAGTGTTACGTTACAGTTAACAGAAAATTAGTTCAGAAAAAGAAATTGATTTATTTTTCACTCGTCGTATGCCTGTGTTAGTGACAAAAAATTGTCAAAGTCAAAAAGACAAAAATCGCATAAAAAGTCCTAAAACAACGGGAGAGATACTGAAGTTTGTGGAAATTTTCGATTAGCAAGGTTTTCTAGTTCGTCTTTTTTACTGAACTTAAAACTAAGATCCTTTATGACGCGCGGAAATTTTCCAAAAGCAAGACCTACTTTCAGTTAAGAAAATTAAAATTCCGAATAACAAAAATTTTATCTTTATGAGTGTTATTCTTTTCTTTTTTTCCTCGGAGAGAAAGCGAGGTAATTACATTTTTGATAATTGTTAAAATCTGTAATGTAGAGCTTACAAAACAAATTCAAACACATGAAAGTTCAGTAGTAAGCTGACCAAAAACTGCACTTGCGCTCGATTGCTGACTTGTTGAATTTAAAAATAAAGTAATGAGCGGAGCCATTGCACTTATTTCAAGTAAGCCGACAGTTTTGGTTTGTAAAGTCGCAGATAGGATTAAGTCTTCAGGTTATCGATATTATTAATTTAGGTATTTCAAGAGAAAAAAAAAGTACAAACAAAACAAAAACCTTTGTTATAATTTTTTATTTTTTTTACATATTTTTTATAATTTCAATTTCATATTGCGACGTCTTATTTTTATTTGTTTGATCATTAAAAAAATAAATGAAAATAGCCCTTAAAATAAATTCTGTTGGATAAGAAGATCTCGTAAAAACCTTCCATAAATATAGAAATGTTTCGTAAAAATGTATCTATTCAAAATTTTGGTAAACAAACTAACTAAATAAAAATAAAATTGTTTTCGCAAATCGCAAACTTTCAAAAAAAAAAAAAAAAAAATTTTTCGCTTAACAATGAGGGAAAATTTTGATGCAAGGTCAAAAATGTAAGGCTCTCTCTCTCTCTCTACACTAACACGCATACTTTCCTCGAATAAACTAAAGAAATCGCTCCGGTCCTACACCTTTTTTTTAGTGCAATGGGGAGGTACAGGATGTGAAAATGGATCTCCTGAAACTAGAACAAGACATTTTTCCCTCCTAATAAGAGCATCCTCTGTCATCCAGGTATGAAATACTAGATGTTAAGGTTTTAAATTTTAATTAAATGAATTAACCCACTAATGCTTACCGTAAAATTCGGTAAATAAAAAATAAGGCAAAAAAAAAAAAAAAAAAAAACGCTCCCTATTTTGGTCTAATAAATTAAAAAATACTTAGGTTAAAATTTAATCGAAGTATTTTTTTCACTCATCAAGGCTAGAGATCCCAGTTTACATTGCTATTTAATTATTGAATAGCAAGGTTTTAAAGTGGGTCTTGAGGAGTGATAATCATTCTAAGAGAAAGGGAAAAAATTGAATTCTCTACGGTGACGAATTCATTGGGAAAAACAAAACTAAAACACTTCTTTCTCAGGAATGCATAACATAACAATCCAGTTCACAGTTAATAAAAGAAATATCTGTGCAGTGTAGTCATGATCGACTATGTCTTGATGAGATATGGAATTAATAAAAAAAATAATTATAGATTTGTTTTTAAAAATCCGGCATTAATTAGGCGTCTACGTAACCCATTTAAAAATACGCACCGTCCAGAAAAATGATAGGGGGGGTAATTTAAGCAAAATAAACAGATATTTTTTCCAATAAAAGAGAAAAATACTTTTAAAAATTGATTTTTTACAATTAATTAAATAATCCTTTTGAACATCAAATTAGTTTACTTTAAAATAGATGAAAAAAATAAAAAGAGGTAATTATTGAATAAGATGCGCAAAAATGTAGAAAAACCGCAAAATGCAAATAAATATGCCTCATAAAAAAAAATTACGAGTTAATTTCTGAAGGATAAGCACTTCTTTTTATTTGTTCTATTCCAGATAACATACCAATTTGATTTTTGCAAGTCATGTTTCGCCTAAGAAAATGCTGTTTTCAAAACATATAGGAAAGGGTAGACTTACCTTTCCAACCTTTTCTTCGTAATGAACGAGTGTTGAAGTACACGTGGGATGAATTGAACGGTGCATTGTCAACATATATACCTGCTAAAAAATTTGCCCGGTTCCCTCCCCCACTCACTCTGTTACTAAATATAAATTTCTTTCCAATATTTATTTTTTATCTGAATGGACCATTGTTGATGATGACATATACTTAGTGATAAGGAGAAATTGTACAGACTGATTGGTTTAGTTTTGTTACCACTCCTGTGGTTAAAATGATATCAAGTAGTGATCAGATTTCTATTTTTCATTTGTTAAAAAAATTTCACTCTCAGTGTACGTACGTACGTGTGTGTGTGAGAGAGAGAGAGAGAGAGAGAGAGAAAGAGAGAGAGAGACGGGGGAGAAAGTGAAAAAGAATATTCAAAATATTTTTTTTTGCAGACCTTCCCTACTGTGAAAGTTGGCACTTCTTACATTTCCCTCATCGCCACCCGTTTATTGCTTAACATTTTAACAAAGTCCGTATGTTACAATTTTTAACTTATCTGTGATAAGTTGGACCGCGCGGAGTTAATTCACCCCCCGTCCCCAATATTAATTCACCCCAGAATAAAAAGAATTTATATTTTTACTAAAATTCACACGTAATTCTCCCAGAGCGAGGCCTTTCCATTGCATTCAAGGTTGTCCTTTACGATCGCCCAAATGTGGGCGACTCAGCTGTGCTATTTCTAAGTGTGGGGGTCAGAATTCGCGCTACCCACCGCCCAATAAACAAGCCAAAAAACAGATTTTTTTTCTTTCTTTTTTTTAAATTGAAAAAAATTCCTTGTAAGTACCTACCTCGAACATCATCCGTACTTACGAAATGTGAATAACTTCATGATTTTTCATTCTGAAGGTTTGAGTTGTTGTAAGGCGAGCTAAACAAACTTTGATTTAAAATTTATAATTTTTTGGAGGGAATTAATTTGCGATAAGTAACTTTACATTATTTTGGGGTGAATTAACAGAAAAGATCCGTTGGACCAAATTATCTATAAAAAATAATAATCTTGTCAGAGATTTTCAGAGTTGTGGAACATGATGATGCCAGTCATTAGCGGAGCACTGGGAACAGTTTCGAAGAACTTGAGAAAAAGCCTGGAAAAACTAGAAATGAAGGAAAGAGTTTTAACAATACAATGGCATTCTTGAAAACAACTTGAATACTGAGGAGACTTGCTGTCACTTGATATACAATGTAAATTACCAGGTTACTACTGGTGTAAGCGATAATAATAATAATAATAATAATAATAATGCTTGCTAACTAGGAATTATCAAGCACATATACTAAAATATTGTGTCAGCCCAAAATGCAGATTCTGTGATAAATATCCAGAAACGATTGATCATCTTGTATTAGGTTGTACGGTGTTGGCACCCACTGAATATAAAACCCGACATGACAGAGTGGGCCAATATCTGCACTGGAAAATCTGCAACTTCTACGGGAAGGAAACTTAAAGAAACTGGTATGAACACCACCCAGACCCGGTTACGGAGATAGGACCTGTTACAATTCTATGGGTTTTTACACAATACACACTGACAGAACAATCAAGGCCAATCGGCCAGATATTGTTATTAAAGACCACAAACAAAAACGGTGCTTCCTTATTGATATGGCAGTCCCTGCTGACTGCAATGTATCTTTGAAGATATTCAAAAAGTTGTCAAAGTACAAGGACCTTGAAATAGAAATCTCGAAAATGTGGCATATGAGAACATCAACAATCCCTGTTGTAGTTGGAGCCCTAGGACTGGTTGGAAAAGATTGCAGTAGACTAATTGAAGGGATTCCTGGAAGTCCATGCCTCAAGGAGATACAAAAAATTGTTCTGACAAGTACAGCCCACTCCTTACGAAGGGTTTTCCTTTATCTATGTAATTTAATTTAATTTTTTTTTTTTTTTTTTTTGTCAGTGGAAAGTGTCATGACGCCATTTCTAACCTTAGGTCCCTGGGCGGGACCCGGAAAGAAATGTAAACGCCAGAAATCAAAGAAAATAATAATAATAATAATAATAATAATAATAATGGGTAGGCTTGAAACACCACCTAGAAAAATGAAAGAGCGCTTTGGGAGAATTGGAATGTAGATCAAGATTATAGACTGTCAGAAAACTGCTATTATTTACTCTGCGCTGATTCTCCATAAGATTCTTAAATTGGGAGGAGTTTTGTTGACACCGTGTCTCAAGAACAGAACTTCCAGTGACTATGTCCAGTGTCGGATTTACAATTAGGCTAGTATGGGTTGCACTGCTGTTTAAAACCCTTGTTTTTGTCATATAGGAAAATCCAACATGGCGCGTAAACGAAATATTTGGCAAAAAATCTCATTCGTTAGTAACATTTTAAACACCTCATAGAATGTAAAGTTCTTAAAGAAAACCTATGCCAAAGTGTTTTCCTGAATCCTTGATGACTTGGCTGTCCGAAAATGGTAATATCAAGATGAAATAATGAAAACTGACCGTGAAAAATACAATTATGCGCAACAGGTTGCAGTCCAGGGGCCCCAAAAACTAGAGGTTTTATCAGGATCTTGAGTCCCTGATAAAACTAAAACAGAAATAAGAAGAGATCTGTTTATTTTTATTTAATTTTAGTTGAAGTGTTTCATGTTTTACCCTCCAAATGCATCCTCTAAAAAAAAAAAAAAAAAAAAATCAAATTATATTAGCCCAGTTTATTTAATAAATAAAATATTTATTTATTTTCGTCTACAAGTCTGAATACTTGAGAAAATGAAAGAAAAATATACGCTCCACCGGAGACCACATACTTTTATACATGGGACAAGCAGATAATAAAAGATTAATGACTGAAAATTCCTTTTGTTTTCGCTATGCCATCTGGAAATTGGATTTGTCGCACCAGCCCTAGGAGCGGACTGAGGTTAGCTGCTGAGAAAGTGGGAGAAGAAAAATGAGAAACAGAGATTAGTACCGCTTATATGGATCTATGCGAGGTGAGGCGTGAAGGAAGTTGGAGTTGAGGGGCGGCTTGATTCATATGACCACTATCAAAAGGGAGCTGGACAAATCCAAATATGGGAAAGCACTTGAATAAATGTATTTTTATATATGGAAATTTAGAAAAGGTTGATGTTTAGGGTAGAAGAACCCAGACCCTAATGAACCTCACCCCTGCTGGACGCAGGACTCCATAAAAGCCGGAGCTTTGGACAAGTCCCTATATTACTGCTACAGGATTCCACATCGTTCACCGAGATGTCCTGACAAAGACATTGTCCCGGCCCTGGAGACCCGAACTAAAAACTGACCTTGTGTCACAATTCGTCTTAGTGGGGAGAGAGAGAGTAAAAACCTAATGTGTAAACTGCTCTCTCGGGTAGTTTGTAACACATCTATTTATCATCTCTCAGTTGTGTCTCTGTCTAAGCAGATTGCACTCAAGGGCGGTTCTGTCAAAGGACAGAGTCACAGCCGAAGAAAATTATACTGAGAGGTACCCAGCCCTGGGGAACAGCTGCCCGATGCCGCGCCCTCTCATTGCGCCAAAGTGAGAGAGAGAGAGAGAGAGATCGGTGCTCGCACCGAGGACAGCGAATCCGACATTTGCGCGGGTTTGGAGAATTTTTGTTCCTAGCCCGGGTGTATGCGCTCGGGTTCCCCATATTAAACCGACCTTGTGTCACAACCTGACCTCGTGTGTGTGTGTGTGGGGGGGGGGGGGGAATTACTATATAGTAGAGATGGAGCTTTTTAATCTCAGAATTCGTGGAAGAATTGAGCTCCAATTTCGCATTTATTCATACCGATTCCATAATATAGGTTTTACTTAATTAGCGATTATGTTTCTCTAAATCTAACTCTTTTCTTCAATTTCTTTTCTCCCATCTTTATACTATATTAATTTTATCTCTTAAATTGTCCCATGTCCTGTCACTCATTAAATAAAAATAATTGCTTGTACGGAAAATGAGGATATACGTACATCAGATCGTCTTTAAATTAAATGGTAGCAGAAGAATTATCGTTGAACTTCCTCCCTAGATATTATGATGATGGCCACAACAAGAGCCCCCCACAGGAGCTAGCTTAAATAAGCTAGTTTATAATAAAACGTGCACTGCAATTTTGAATACAAAAGAAAAATAGGAGTTAGTCCCCTTGAACCATGAAAGTAAAGATAATGGCTTGTATAATATATTAATATATATTTTTAACCTCGCATAATCTGGCAACCCTGAATCTGAGCTCAATGAAAATTGTTCCTTTTGAAAAAGCTATGAATCATTGAAATCGGACCAATGGGAGCGGAGGAGTTGCTTGGGCACACACGCGCACAAACACACATACACTGTACTTTATATATAAGATTATATAATTTTACATATATGAATAGCGTAATTATTTTATTTTATTATATTGTCTGGAGTAGCTCCATTTTTTTTTAACTCAAACATAAGAGCTCACTTCGATATCCATCGCTCATATAAGAAAAACAAACCTTAATTTCTTCATCTTTTCTGGCCACTCAGAAAAAAGCCTATGTGGTTTTCATAGCATCCGTTTATGAGCTATTAACTGACTATATAGTCATCGCTGATTTCACCCATGGAGGCAGATCAGACCAGGGTGAAATTAGCAACGGACCCGACCGCAGATTGTTTAACCAGCCCATTAGCTTCCATCAACAGCGATGCCTTCGGCCAGCGACGAAACCAGCCACAGCAGCAGAGATTAACTCCCGACTGCCGCAACGCGATAATTCGTGAAATATTCCTCCCACGAGTCTATCCCTCTCGACGATAAAATATAGTTTTAAGGTATGCTATATTTATAGGTTAAAGTACTCAATATCAGGGATAGAGCGTATGTAAATATAATTTTATAGCGTTGTTTGTTAACAGACGTTCATTCTTTTTTATGTGCCATGTCCTTTCAGGACATAGGCGATCATGGTTCTCCCCTCCCTCATATCCTTTTCAGCTCTAAACAAGTTCCTTCTCTCTGCTTCCTCCCTCAGACCACGTTCTGTCATCCACTTTCTTAAGCCCACTAGGT